AAGGGCGCCTTGGTTGTCGCCGAATATCGCAACTCTGTTGAATTTACCTGGCCAGGCCGACCAGATAATTCTCTTTGCTAATCTGATGGCTAACCGGATTCCGATTAGCTCAGCTTCGTAGTTAGAGATGAGATGGTGAGATGGTATTTTGACTGAGTCAGAGAAAGAACAGTTCAGAGCCACAGCAGCTGCGCCTGCCCCTGTGCCCGGGATCAGGGAACCATCGGTGAAAATCAGAAGTGCACCGTTACCCATTTCCTCGTCAATCTGTTTTTTCACCAACTCGACCGCCTTCACTTTGGGGATACCAAGGTTGAAGATCTTCGAGACTGGATCAGTCCAGGGCGGAAATGGAGATACTTGAATGCTCTCCATCTGCTGTTCAAGGTGTTGTCGTAAGTCATCAAGTCCTGTGAACAAATGTAGGGGGCTGGGAAAGGGGGGCTTGGCTTCAGTTAGTTCTTTAAGTAAGAAGGGAGCAACTGGGTGAGAGGGTTCTCTGGTCAGTCCTTTCAAAATGTGAGAGATGGAGAGTTTGGTGTGAATGTCGACGAGCGACTTCAGACCACTGCTCATTTTAACGAAGGGGAGAGGGGTTTGCTTGAATAGCCCGGTTATCAGTCTGCTCGCTTTGTAGAATAGACCATCCAAAACTTGAGAGGCTGTTTTTCTGTTTCGAGCTGTGAACCATATCAGGCTCCCAAACAGTACTCTCGGGTACAGCACTGCACTAACTAGTCTCCGGGCTGACTGTAGGTTCAGGCCATAGGTGGATTTAACAATTCTACCGAGTTGAAGAATAGTCAGGTCGCCTGTTTTTCTAACTTTTTGGATATGGTCAGTGAACGTGAGTCTGCTGTCCAGGATCACCCCGAGCCACCTGGCAGCGGGTTGAGGTACTAGGGCGTGACCATCAAAATCAAGAGAGGGTAGGGTTATGGGTTTCGGGGAGAAACCCATTACTATGGCTTTCTTCCTGTCGAAGATTGCGCCATACTTCTTCCCCCAGGTTAGCGATCTGGATGCTTCCTCCCGTAGCATGGACATAGCCAAGTCCGCTGAAGGGGCTGCTACAAGGTGTACCACGTCGTCCACGTAGCCTATGGAGATCCTGTTGTCGGAGAGTGAGGCCGAGTTTTGGATTAAGAGGCTGCTATTGTAAAGAATGTAGAGTGTGACCGAAAGCGGGGAGCCCTGAGGAAGGCCTTCAGGGATTGAGAAGGGAGGGGAAGTGTAATCCCCCATTCTCATCGAGGTGGATCGGTCTGAAAGAAAAGAATGGATCATGGCCGTCAAGTAAGGAGGGCAAGAGAGCTCAGTCAGACGTTTACGGAGTCTTTCCTTATAGACGGTGGGGTAAGCAGACTTGACGTCCAGAAAGATCCCTGCTATTATGTTTTTCTTGCGCCAATTGTTTTTGACCCAAGAGGTGAATAGAACAAGTGCGTCAGTAATGTTCCTTCCTCTCCTGCCTCCCATGTGGCTGGGAGGAAGGATGTTGTTTGTCTCGATCCAATGGGTCAATCTTTCATTTAAGATCTTTTCGAAAAGTTTGCCCAGGGTGCAAAGCAAAGCTATCGGGCGATAGGCATTCGGATCCCTATAGTCTGGTTTGTCCGCTTTGCGGATAATGGCAGTGATTGCTGTTCGCCAGGGGGTAGGAAAATGGTTAGCACGGAGGCAGGAAGAGAAGAGAGGGGCGAGGAAGCGGCTTAATTGCCCTTCGCCGGCTTTCAGCAATTCATTCGGGATTGAGTCAGGTCCGACCGCTTTTTTGGGGGGCAGCGATCTGATCGCTCTTTTTACCTCTTCCTCCGTGATTGGAGGGAAATCTGCTGGATGGCTCTCGGGGCCGTTCACAATGTCACTCAAGTCACATTCAGTGGGGATCAGTGAGGTGCCTTTAAAAAGGATCTCAGCTTGCTCGACCACATCTGTGGTCAAGGATTTGTCTTCCCTGTAAAGTGGCTCGATGGTGTTGGCCATCCTGGCCTTGGTGAATTTATACGCCTGGAAAGCGGACACATCTCCCGTCCTGGCTAGGAAGCTGCGCCAGTGCCTTAGCTTCAACTCCTCTACTTTATTTTTGAAAGTCTTCTGCCAGGCAAAGTAGCACTCCCGCGCCTCGGTCGAGTTGTCTAAGATCATCCAACGGCGGGCCCTGTTTCGGTTTGTAACTATAGGGTTCAAGATTGAGGGATCCCACCAAGACTTCGCTCTGGAGTTACCTCTCCAGGCAGTCTTCCCTTGTTTCATGTGGCAATCTTGGATACTGTTTGTTAAACCTGTCACTGCACGATCGATCTCAGTCGGAGGCATCAAAAGGTTAGTAGGGGGTAGACTGTCGATTGAGGAGGAAAGGTTAGCAGAGAAGGTTGATAGGTTTAGCCTGTCTACGGCAACACCCCTGGTCTGGGCTGGGAAGTGTAATTCCCCTTGGGTGGAGAGCTGTAGATGGATCGGCTGATGATCCGAGGCGTGGTTATTCAAGGCTACTGAGCAGGAATTTACAAGAGATCTGCACTTGTGGTTCACCCAGCATAGGTCTATGGTAGTTTGAGAACCACGCGATCCCAGGAAGGTGGGAACCCCTTTAGGGGAGGTTAACTGGAAACCTTTCTTGCCGCAGAGTTTTATCAACTCCTTTGCTACCGTGTGAGTGTGGCGGTACCCGGGTGGATTCCAGAGTGGATGGTGTAGGTTTGAGTCTAACATCAGCATGGTGGGAACGGCTCTGGAGGAGTGAGTATCAAGCCAGTGAGCGAGTATGGGGATGGTGGGAAAAGACGAAGGAGGGTTGTACACCGACAGGAGATGGAAATGAAGGGGGGATGGCGTATGGAGGGTGAGGGAGACGGCAGTCAGGTTAGGAGAATTGTCAGGGAGTCTAAAGAAATGATGGGTGGGAGTAATCTTATTGATGTATATACAGCAGCGAGGTCTGCTGTCAATTTTAGTTGGGCTATCAATGGGGGAGATCCGGTGCCAGCCCGGATGGGTTGGAGGAAGGTGGTCAACGGGGTTGGTCCACGGCTCCTGCAACAGCAGGGCCGTGTGGCTTACTTCAGAAAAGAGCACACTCAGTGTTGTGTCTCTACGGTTGTGGCAGTTGAGCTGGAGCAGGGAAAAGGGTGGGAGGGGAAGCTTAGTGGAGGGGGTGGAGTGATTAGGCCGTGATGAAGGGGAAAAATAATTCAGCGGGAGGAAAGGTGATGACTGGGAGTCTATGGTGTGGCTAGTGTTGGTTTCACTATTCATGATTGGGATTTGGGGGTTTTATTCTTCTCCAGAGTTTCTAGCTCCTTGGCACGTACCTGACAAGCGCTGTTGAATGGCGAGTGGTCATATTTGGGGTTAGTAAGGTCAATGGGCAGCTTGGCCTTGCGGTCCACCGCAAGGCAGCGCTGGCAACTCCTGCTTGAGTCCTCGATGTCCTCACAGGTAGCCGTGTTGTGGTTTCCCCCACAGCGAGAGCAAAGGGCCTGTTCTTTACAAGAATGAGCCAAGTGCCCAACTGCTAAGCAGTTGTAGCACTGTTTTGGGCCTTGGATATAATGTTGACCTCGGAGATGGAGGTTATTGTAGCAGAGCCCAGCCCTTTCAATGTCAAAAGCGAGCCTCCTGTCAAAGAACTGAATCAGTAGAGTACCGGTTTCTTTCCCAGCAAGTTTAGGGTTGAGGAGCCATCTAATCTTCTGTATTTCCCTTGTTTCGATGTCGTTTTGCTGGCAAAGTATCGCCACGTGTTGAGGGTTGTCAACCTCGAAGCTGGACGGGCAGGAGTGCAATAGAACAGGGTGAGTAATCTGGGAAGTGATGAATTTGGGGTCAGCCTGGGCAGTCCATAAGTGTTTATTGTCGAGCAGCCATTTGGCCGCTCGTCTGTCTTTTGTGAATATTTTAATGTCACCGTTGGGAAACTGAGCCACTGCTTTGATGGTGATGAGTTCTCCTTCGATGTGAGCCTTGGCAAAATTTAAAGCCTCGTTGATCTTCTTTGTAATCTGTGCTGCAGACAGGCCTTCAAACGGTTTAGGTTGGTCGAACCGTTTCCGGATGACAACTTGACCCAGCTTGAATCTATTGATGTGGGTGGTCGAGGGTACTGGGGGTAGGGAGTTCAAGGAGTTTGTCAATACCCCTACCTTTTTTGCTCCGGCTGCCTTCTCTGAATAGAGGGGCGCTGGCTTGGGAGGTAGAGCCGAGGCGGCTACTACAGTAGTGTTATTGGCCGAAGAGAGACCTTCTACCTTCCTCTCGAGTCGCGACAGATTACTGGCGATCTCCTCAAACCTGACAAGCAAGGTGTTGAAGGAATCTTGCCTGTTGGCTAGGGCTGGCGCCGGCGGGGCTGGTTTTGCAGCCACCGCCTTCTCCAAATTTTCTAATCTGGAGACCAGGGATTCGACTAACGAGGTTAGTCTTACCATCGATGGGTCCGCCTGTTGTGGCAGGATCCCCTCTGCGACATACATGTCCACTGCGGACATGTCTTCGGCAGAGCCATGGCCAGGCCCTTGTGGCAACAAAGGTGGCGGCATGGGGTGCAAGGTGTGGGTGATTGGTGTTGGGTTGTAGGTGGTGGAGAGGAGAGAGCGGGGCTAGTGCTCTGTTGTATTGCAAAGGGGATTGGGAAGGGGAGGGGAAATGGAGGTGTTGCTGAGAGAGTTGGTACGTGGAGTAGATTTTAGGATAGCGATTTTGGATGAGTTGTAAAAAGGTGGTGACATAAATTAGAAAGGAAGAAGCCCCTTTTTTTAATGCATAACAAGATGAATTTCTATGGAGAGGTTCCAATTTTTGGTCCCGTGCGGGAGTCCCGCTACCCCCTACCCTTCCCGGGTCCCCGAAAAGACAACCAGTCAATCGGACCACACCCCCGCAATCGTCCATCCAGATCCACCAGAACCCATATCGACCAGGCCGGCGATCGAAGCAGAACAACGTACATAGAGCCCAAACCAAGCAAACACGAGTCAGGAACGAAAAACGGATCGAGGATGGGGCCGAAGAGCAAACAAGCCAGCACCAACACCTCGATGATTTCGAGTGCAATGAAGCAACTCACACGATCATACATCGAGGCAAGCGGTTCCCAAAACTAAAAAAAAAAAAAAACGCTTATCCAAGATGACCACTAATCCGTGTGCTTGGGGTTGTTTTTTTGCACAGGAGACGCCGAGTTCATTACTGTTGATCGATTCCGTGCTGGTGTTCCTGATCGGCTCGGCAGTGATCCAACTGGCCTATTGCGTGCTCGTGACAAGCTTCCCGTTCAACGCCTTCCTCGGCGCCTTCTCCGTCCATGTCGGCCAGTTCGTCCTCCTCGCTAGCTTGCGCTCCCAGGTCAATCCCCTCAACTCCTCCCAATTCGAATTCGTTAGTCCCGAAAGGTACATTTCCCCCCTCCTTTTTTTCTCTCTCTCTCTCTCTCTTGTCAGTTTCCTGTGAGCTTGTTGGGCTCACTCTTCAATCAATCTCTCTCTCTCTTTTGTAGGGCGTTTGCAGACTTCGTCTTCGGCTCTTTGGTCCTCCATTTCTTTGCTTTCAACTTCCTAGGATAACAAATCCAAAAAAAACATAATCAAAATCAACATTAAAACTTCATCACCAACCAATACAAAAAACCTCCAACGATCATTATTTTCTCTTTTTTTGTTTTCTTGGAGAGGGGGGAGGGTCGTCAAAAACAAGCAACTCTTTCAGAAATTAAAGAATCTATTCTTTATTTATCTTCAGTAAGATAAGAAACTGGTATTCGACAAGAAATCACAAAAGCAAACAACCTATCTTTTTCATGACAAATCAAGAAAAAGAAACCCCTCAAAAGAAAAAAAAACCCCAAGATAATCCCCCCCGCCCCTCAAACCAAACCAAACAAGAAACTCCAAACCCGCCCAGAGAAACATGTATGTAAGCCAAGAAGACCTGATCCGCTGTCCGATTCGAAAGCGCACGAGTCTGAGCGGGCACATTGTCTTCGTGTCAAGGGAGTAGGAGTGATCAAAGCCGAAAAAAAGTTACATTTTTGGTTCGTCGACGAGGACACAACTATATGTGTGTGTATGCGTGTGTGTTTGGTATGAGTGGTGCGACAGTTAAAGAGATATATAAAAACGACAATCGAAGAATTGATATACGGAATGCTTGATCAATGAGAGAGAGAGAAAAAAGAAAGCGAAGGCGGCAGGGATCAGGGAGGGGGGGTTAAAATTGGGGCGATCGTCGTCGATCAAGCGAAATGGATCCCATGTTTATGGAAACAAGCCAGTAACCTGTCCACACACACACAAATGTTCATCAACACTAGGATTCTTTTTTTGGTGTATGTAGTAAGAAGAGAAGGAGAGAGACTGACGATAAGAAGTCGTCGACATCCATCTTGGCTGAGCGGGAATCCGAATATCCAGACTCTTGCAGAATCTTTTCGAGCTTGGATGTGAATGTTTGATTTTGTTCTTCCTCTTCTTGTTCAGTGACAATCTGTCAACGCCCAAAGAGAGTGAGAGAGAAAAAGAAAAACAGTCAGAATTATAAGAAGTGAGAGTGAGAGAGGAAGGGACGAACGGATTGTTGCTGAGATTTCCAAGTATTCCAATTAGCTTCGAGCATATTGAGGGTGGAATTAGAGGCGAAAAAGGAGGCTCGGACCGTTTTATTTCTGCGATTGAAGCAGATCCGGGTGAGGCCATCGAACTCGTTGAAGGCGATGTTCGGGGGCGGATTGAGGGGCTCGATCTTGACCACACAGCTCTCGACGAGCGGGGGCGGACGGAAGTTGGCCTTGCCGACGTTCATCAGATGAGTCACCTTCGAATAGAGCTGCACATTCACCGACAGTCGCGACCATAGCTTGCTCCCCGGTCGCGCACTCAGTCGTAAGCCAAACTCCTTTTGGAACATCAGGATCGCCACTCTGAAGAGCGGTCTATGTTCTAACAACTTGAACACTAATGGAGACGAAATCTGTTTTGTAAGTAAAAAAAAAAAAATGGGTCAGTTTTGATTAATTCCTAGAATGATTTTTAGATGGAGGAAGAGAGAGGATGTAGACGGACTTGATAGGGCGTATTACTGATACAGACATCGAAGTACGGCAGCTCGGTCTTCAAGAAGTCGCCGACGATGATCTCGAGCTTGCGTTTGAAGTTGAGATCCTTAGCATTCTGGAACCGTTTGGAGAGTTCGAAGGCCATCCGGGGATCCATCTCGACGACGGTGAGCGATTTGCAATTCTTCTCGAGGATCTTGACGGTCAAGTTGCCGGTTCCCGGGCCGACTTCGAGCACTTTGTCCGTCGTCTTCAGGTTCGCTTTGTCCACTATCGTCTGGGCTACTAATGGGTTCTTTTCTTGCCGTGTTCGTTCGCTTTTAGTCTCTCGGTTACTTTGCTTGATTGGGCATGACTCTCCTCACCTTGAGGATGTGTTGTCCTAGCTTATCCGTATTAAAAATCGGATTACTCGCCCCTCCGCCGCCTCCGCTCGACTGTTGGTTGTTTTCTGCATTCGGTTTCTTCTTGAGATGACTGGTGGTATTCGATTCTTGGTGGAGTCTTGTGAACTTCTGGCTGGTCACCCTCGGCATCCTTTCTTGGTCTTCTTTGGTTTGGTTGAATTGTTTTTTTTTTTTTTTTTTCTTGATTATGTAATGAGTACCAGCTGAAGATGTGAGTGTGCGGCCTTACACACACCTGTCACACAGTCTGCACAGTCCGCAGCCAGTGTGACATAATCACTCATCCTGCAATCGGCCAGCTTGAGACTGAAACACAGCGATCGGGTAGGAACCAACAGCACTAGAAAGAAACATAATGGGATCAGAACTACTAACTACCCGTAAGCCATATCGATCTGAAAGAAGACCAGGGCCCATCCAAAGAAGTGAACTGACATTGATCTGATGTGGTAACAGTGGTCGAACTGGGATTCGAGTCGTAAGTTCATCCATTTCATGGGAGCTCTCGGGATCCTCCTTCTGGTCGCATCTGATGGCTGTATTATGTGTAGTGCAAAAGCCGAAAGAGCGCTGAAAGCAGTGAGTAGTAAATCAAAAAAAATCATTTCCAGAAATCAGTTAAACAAGAGTGACGGAGGGTGAGATGTTTCTTTTCTGTTATGTAGACAGATAACCGGAGCGTGGATGCTGCCTTGGATTGGTTGGAGAAATACGGAGACAATCTTCCGCCTGAGCCAGAAGAGAAAGAAGGAGCCAATGCTGGGCAGTCAACTATTGAAGAGAAAAAACCCGAAGTAGAGGCCACGGGAGCTTCTTCTTCTCCAAAATTGAACAAACCAAACATGGTATGGAATCTTATTTTTTTTTTTTTTCATCGTATGATCGAAAGTCTAAAACTCAAATCGAATCTCTGTCTGTCTTTTCTTAAAGGCTAAAGGATTGAAATGCACCGAATGCGATAAGTTCTTCAAAAACAATGCGTTGGCTAGTTATCATTCTGAGAAAAGTGGACACATCAATTTCGACGAAGTCGAGTATGAGGTTCGTCTATCCTTTCCTTTGGTTCATACCATGTCCATTCTGATTATTTTTTGTTTTCTGTTGGTACAGGCTAAGCCATTGACGGAAGAAGAGAAACAGGAACGGTTGGATAAGGTATGTTTACTTGCCAGACTCAGATATGTTTGTTTTGAACTGATCATGTCTGTTTTACTCTGTATGACATAGCTTCGAGAACAACTCAAAGAACGCCAAATCGCCAAGAAAAAGCTAGAGGCTCAAGAGAGCAAAGGTAAAAAAAAGCAATTCACAAAAAAAAAAGAGAAAAACGAAGTTGATAATGATTATGATGTTTTATAGCTAATGAAGCTATCCGTCGTAAGGGGGGTAAGGACATGGTCAACATCAAGGAAGAACTGAAGAAAAAGGAGATGGAGAAAGAGATTGCGCAAAGGAAGAAAGACAAGTTAGAGGACGAGTTGGCTAAAGCTCGAGCGCGGGCGGCGATTGCGGAAGATAAACAAGAACGGGCACGCAAAGCGGCGTCTGAGAAAGCGTGAGTAGATTGTTCTGATTTCTGCGATGCCTTTATATAAACCCAGCAAGAAAAGTGTTGAAATGAAGGTTGTTTGGATTGGAAGTAAACGAACGGGGATACCGCCACCACCGGAGCCAGAGAAAGTGGTCAGAGCGCCGATGAAGAAGCGGACGAGTGGAGAGGCCGGAAGTGGGTCGACGAAGGAATACAGCGAAGGTCGGTTCCAGTTAAGGCTGCCCAACCCCGAGGGCTCCGTCGTCGTCATCAGCTTGGAGGCCCATAAATCCCTCGTCGATCTCGCCCATGCCTTGGCTGATCATCCCGAGTTCAATCACTTCCTCGATCGCCCCGCTTCCTCCCTCCGCTTCTCTACTACTTATCCCCGCAAAATCTTCTCCCATGATGAAATGCTTAAATCTATTAAGGTTCGTTCCTCACTCTCTCCTTTCTACTCTTGTCGCTTTTTTCATCTTGCTTATTTATGCTTGTTCAATCTTTTAGGATTTGGGCTTGCTTCCTTCTGTCGCTCTTGCTGTATCTTACACTTAAAAACTAATTTCTTCTTCTAAAGGTTGATCAAGAAATATATATACAAATAAATAAATAAAGAATATCGGTGATTTTATCTTACTTTGACTGGTCAATATTGGTATGACATCACATGTTACACACTTACATATTTTATATCCTCTTCTTTTATCTCCCTCTTTCTTCTTCTGTAATTTCAAAAATCAATTATATCAATAACAGTAAAATGAAGAAAAGAAGTTTTGTAGACTATCATTTCTTGTCACAACTGGACAATCAATCTAGTGAAAAAAGTGAGTCATATGGAACATGTTGTTGAGAAGTGCATTTCATTCTTTTCTCTTTTCTTTCATGTTGTATGCTACATACCTGTCACACTCCTGTCACAGATAGTGTAGTTTACCTGAGCCAGAACAGAGTACGTGGAAGGATTCTCTTTCCTCATCCTTCCACTATCTCTTTCTCTGACTCAGGTAAGTCATTTCATCTTTGCTTCATTTTTCTTTCCTTTTTGTCTTTTGTTCTGTTCTCAGATTTGTTATCATTACCTTATGCAATGCTAACAATCCTTCCACTATCTCTTTCTCTGACTCAGACTCTGTCTGTCTCATCAGGTTATGAGCACCATCGCGCTATAACTACGCAGTCAACAGAAGATAGAGAGCACAAGGATCCGTAAACTTTTCGTTAAAGCTTGTCGTGTATGGACACACCTCCGTCACCACACATCAAATCTGAATATTTCACTTCCACCACTCCAACGACTACTCCTCCCTCCAAATTAATCCTCCTCGATTCCAATCTGAAACTGTCGCTGGAATCTAACCCCAAGCGATCTAGCATGTCCTCCACAAAGGATTCAGACGTATCGGGCCACCCAACCCTCAAACTCACGGGTGTCGAACAGCTTAAACCCCCTGGATCCGACTCCAATTACCTCGATTGGAGTTGGATCCTGGAGATTCACTTCGCCGCCACGGATGTCGACTATATCATCAACGATAAGCCCGAATTAGCAAAGGCAAGGGCTACTTTTGATCGGGACAAAAAGGCCGTTTGTGGCGTGATATCGTGCACTCAAGCTTCTCTGCCAAGTTTGATAATTTGCAATATTAAAGTGCAAAATCATGAACTTCATCACACGTTTTCTACCAGAACCAAACTGGTTTTTTCAATGAAAAAAATCTAAAACTCCCGATTATGTAGACCTTTCATCCACATGGACCAAAAATAAATCTGAGTTGTGATGAATGAGTGGTGGGGCAGGGGCAAACAAGGTTACCACCACCAAAACCGTGTTTCTGCCTCACACCAGGAAAGTGTTTTAATATGCAAGTCCCTCCCTAGCGCTGGAACCCGTTCTTGGGACCTCTGGGTATACCCAGCAGGTACACCAACGGCTTAGGGCTCTGGGACAGCTCTTCAGGAGCCCAAAGACCAAGGAGTAGGTTGGGTACAGTCCACAGGCCGTCTTGGAGATACCCGCAGGTATCTTGGGTTTGCTCTGGGGGAGGGGCAGTGGGAGCCAATTGGCCTCTACTCCTCCCCAAACCGGGGTACCCGCAGGCCTCTCCAAGGAGGGACCTTGTATTGGCGGGTATACCGTGTGGTGGGCAGGTACTCTGCTGGGCGGGTAGAGATGGTCGCGGGGTATCCATTGCGGATACCCGCTATCCCCTGGCGGATACCCGCCAGGGGATACAGATTGGGGTTCGGATGTGCCCTTTTCCCAGAAATTTGGGCGGGTATCCGGGTATCCCAAAGGATACCCGAGGCCAGAAGGGGGGATGGCCGGCTGGAAGGGTTTCCTTCCAGCCGGCGAGGTGCATGTACCTTGCCGGCTGGAAGGAAATCCTTCCATTTGACGAGGTACATGTACCTTGTCGACCGGAAGGGGTTTCTTCCAGTCGACAAGGTATATGTACCTCGCTGGCTGGAAGGAAACCCTTCCAGTCGACGAGGCATGTACCTTTCCAGCTGGGTTTCTTCCGGTCGACAAGGTACATGTACCTCGTCAACTGGAAGGAAATCCTTCCAGCCGGTCCCTTGCCGGCCGTTTAAAGGGCGGGTATCCGAGGATACCCGCTGCGGCCGACGGATACCCGCCAGCGGGTTTGGATGGTTATTTTGCTGCAAAAAGCAGCCGGATATCTGTATCCACGCGGATATCCGGATGCGAATTGACCATCTCTATGGGCGGGTATACCCTACCCGTGGCCTGTTTCCTTTACCCACGGGTAGGTCTTGGTCACACTAATTTTTGTACCCAAGGGACATGAATACCCTTGGGTTGGGGCACGGGCAAGGCCAAAATGCTTGGATACCCTGTGGGTTCCAGCGCTATCCCTCCCTGCAGGAGGGGGCACTTTGTGCCCAGCCAGTTACACCAGCAAGCCTCCCACCAGGGGGAATTGTGTTAAGTTTGGGGCTGGAACAAGAGCCAGCTCAATGGCTGGTAAATATGTACCAGCCATTGAGCTGGCAAAAGACAGAACTCATGTACCAGCTATTGAGCTGGGTCTTGTTCCCGCTCAGTGGCTGGTACACTATATGCTGCCGGCCATTGAGCTGGGTCTTGTCCCAGCTTGATGACTGGTACATATGGTGTTGCAAGCCCGTCTGGGCACACACCAAAGTTTGGTCAAAAAAAGGCCAAGCGCGCTGGGCCAATCCCAAAGCCCGCTTGGCCGATCCCAAAGCCTGCGTGGCACCATCCCAACCCCCGCTTGGCACATGCTAAAGTTGGCGGGGGTTGGGACAAAGCCTCGCTTGGCCGAAATCAAGCGAGGGTGCCACGCCCGCCAACACGCCGGCCCCCGAGAAGGCCATCTGCTGAGTCGGGGGCCAGTGCCGGGCTGGTGCACAGGCTACCAATCGGCCCAGGGCTTGAAATCAGCCCAGCGGGACTTGGCTATGCCAAGTCCTGCCCCCCGCCCATCCTGTCCGATCAAGCCCTCTGGGCACAATCTAAACCCCTGGTGGCACTTGGCCACGCGGGACTTGAGATTGTGCCCAGACGGGCTTGCAAGACCATACTAAGCATCAAGCTGGGCCATCACCCTGCTTGAGGGTGAACTTAACACAAGTCCCCCTGGTGTGACAGGCTGGGCACATAGCGCCCCCCCTCCCGCAGGGAGGGACTTGAATATTAAAACACTTTCCTGGTGTGACTCTGAGGCAGAAACACAGTTTTGGTTGTGGTTACCTTGTTTGCCCCAGTGCCACTCATTCACTACAACTCAAATTTATTTTTAGTTTATGTGGATGAAAGGTCTACATAATATGGATTATATATATTTTTTTCATTGCAAAACCCAGTTTGGTTCTGGTAGAAAACATGCAATGAAGTTCACAATTTTGAAATTTGATTTGCAAATTTGGCAGAGAAGCTTGTGCACACTCTAAGTATAAGCATATTATATGCCTGCAAAATGAGAAATTGTATTTTTTTCTGTTTGTTCACTTCAAAAAAGATTGATATGGAAATAAAAATATGAAAAAAATACAGAAAGATCAACAAGCTAGTAGAGAACAAGAAAAAGGCTACAATTGAATTTTGACAATAATGGCATGGAAGCCAGAGGTGACGATACAAAAAAAGGCCTCAAAAACAGGCCTGCCTCACACAAGCTTTGAGTAATAGTATGTAAGCCTCTCTGACAAGACTGGGCTGCCGCCCAGACCTGCCCGCACACAGCTCTCTTCACAAGAAGATTAGTTAAGCTTAGCTTGAGGGGCAGGTGTGGAAAGGCAGTAACTGGGCACCCCCATTTTCTTTTTGAAGATACAAGGACCCTGCACTGCACCTGGAGCCCGCTAGCCACCCTGAGCACCGGCCAGGCAGTCCCAGGTCCCTAAAACGGGTACCCAAACACCATCTCTCTACTTGTTTTCAATTTTTGTGCAGAATAGGGATGGCCATCTGGACTCGGGTACCCAAGGAGGGTGCATGCACCTGCTGTGAATTTTGACATATCTATAGACCCGGCACCTGTGGGCGGGTACAATGGGTACCTTGACCATTACAGGTCTCCAGATTGTTTTTGATAAAACAATCTGGAGAGGAATGAGAGTGCTGTCAAAAAGCACTCTCCCAGTGTGTAGAAAACCTCACCAGGCATGGTGAGGTATGAGGCCCACTCTCCAGATTGTTTTTGATAAAACAATCTGGAGAGGAGGGATGCTGAGCAGTGGGTACCCGACCGGGACACATGTACCTGGTGTTTGTGGGCTCTAAAATGCATACCTGCACCCACTCCAGGCACCCACCTGAGGGTACCTGATGGGGGGTTGATAAACGCACGCCAACCCCCATGGCGCACGCCAATCTGCACGCCAGCTGCAGATTGGCGTGTGCGCCTGCACGCCATTGCAGAATGGTGTGCAGGCAGGCACGCCACTTGCCTGCAGGGGGTATACCCTGCAGGTTGGCGTGCGTGCCTGCACGCCAGTGCTTGGGTCCTATGGGACAGCCCCGCTGTTTTTTTTTTTTTTTTTTTTCTTTTCAAACCCCCTCGGCCTAGAGAGGCCGAGGTCACACCGCCGGGAGGAACCCCTCCCGGCGAGCCTGTGTACATGCCAGCTCGTCGGAAGGAATCCCTTCCGACAAGCTGGCTTTCAAACCAGCTCGCCGGGAGGAACCCCTCCCGACAAGCTGGATTTTGTACCAGTTCGTCGGGAGGAACCCCTCCCGACAAGCTGGGTTATGTACCAGCTTGTCGGAAGGGTTTCCTTCCGACAAGCTGGTATAAAAACCAGCTCGCCGGGAGGGACCCCTCCCAACGAGCTGGGTTATGTACCCGCTCGTCGGAAGGGTTTCCTTCCGACGAGCTGGTATAAAGACCAGCTCGCCGGGAGGGACCCCTCCCGACGAGCTGGATCATGTACGGCCAGCTTGTCGGAAGGGATTCCTTCCGACAAGCTGACATGTACACAGGCTTGCCGGGAGGGGTTCCTGCGGGGCCGGCCCCTAGGACCCATGCCTGGGTCCTATGGGACAGCCCAGGTCCTAAACGCATATAAATATGCGTTTAGGACCCATATTGGGCCTGCAGGCAGGCACGCCACCCTGCAGGGTATACCCCCTGCAGGCAAGTGGCGAGCCTGTCTGAACGCCATTCTGCAATGCCTTGCAGATTGGCGTGCGCCATGGGGGTTGGCGTGCCCTCATCACCCCCCTACCTGAGGGTGTCTGCGGGTACCTGTGGATGGGTGCCGGGAACCACCAAATGGGTATCCACTGGCCATCTCTAGTGCAGCAAACGGCAACATATAGAAATTTGCAAGATCGAGTCCCACAGTACAGGCGCTCATATACACTTTGTGGCTACTACTGGGACCACTAAGAAGCGCATGGACAATTAGAGATATTTAAAAAAAGGGG